AGAGAGAGAGAGACAGACAGACAGACAGACAGACAGACAGACAGACAGACAGACAGAGAGAGAGAGAGAGAGAGACAGAGAGGGAGAGGGAGAGAGACAGACAGACAAACAGACAGACAGACAGACAGACAGAGACAACTTGTCTTACCTATCCTCCTGCTCTGAAGGTCCATTGACGGCATTATGGGCCTGGGCATAGATGTTTCCTTGAGGCTGGGGCTGAGGTGGTTGAGGGGGCGGAGCCATGGGTGGGGGTTGACGGTATAAACCTGGACACAGTGGTGTAAACAGCATCTATTCAGTGTATGTTTTATGTTTTAGTATGAGTATTACAGCACTTGCAACACGTAAGTGCCAAAGATTTGAGGTGTAACAAGAGAGTAGCATACACAAAAAAGGAGGAGAGATAGGTTCTAGATTTAGTAAGGTTTTACGGCGCACGCAAAACTGCATAAGGTCATATGAGCATCAAGGGGTGGGTGTCAAAAACGGGGAATCAGGTTTACTCTGCTCACCTCTCTAGCCTCAACAGCACAAAGTCTGCTTCAACTATCAAGGCATCCCGGAAATAGCACTTCACAAGAGAGTGACAAATAAACAAAAGAAGTTGAGGAAAAATGACAATAATAAGGATGAGGAAAGAACAAGCAGCAGTTCCCCCTATGTTGCTCAGGCACAGTATGAGCCCATAAGAACATATTAATATCCCCCCTTTGGGAAAGGCCTAAAGACACGGAGGAGGGATAAGAACGATAGATGTTTGATTGGAAAAAAAGAGCAAACCAAACAAAAGCACCAGCAACCCATCCACACAGCAGAATGTACTCAATGAACAGGAATACAGACTTTGAAAAAAAATCATCATACAACATAATATATTATTCTCACACTCACTCACACACATACGAATGTGGATACTGTACGCAAACAGACAATCCATAAAATAGGGTTCCTCAGATGTAATCTGATCTTTTCATCTTTCACGTGCAACAGGCAAAGTGCCTTACCATTACAGTAAAGAAGGCTATCCATTATAATACGTCCTACCTAAAGCAACAATACCCACAATTACGACAACAATGGTTAACTTGATGACAGCAACAATATTCACAATAACAACGACAACAGCGATAACAACAACAAAAAAACCAGAGAACGACGATGACAGCACAAAGTTTATAGCACGCCTTCCCACCTCTTCACGAACAAACAACACACAAAGCTGCTCACTGTTTAAAGTTTCCAACGCCGTCAGCATGGCTTGTGAGAAGTTCTCTGCATCTTCCCTCGAGGCGAAATTGAGACCGTAGACTTGCCGACTGTCTCGCCATTGGTGGAATGTAGGAGTGGCTTGATTATACTTGAGTCCTTTAAGTATAGCGCAGTTTATAACCACCTGAAGAGGAGAATAGACACCCTTGAAGTGGACGTAAATTACGTAAATTAGCGAGATCTACTCAAAACACTTAAAAGAACAGGACACGATAAAAACGCACAGAAAAAAACCTTTTTTTTTATTACCCCCTCACACTCACTGCCCAATTTCCTCGTGAGTATTTGTTTCATTGGGAAAGGCACTTTAGACAAATTTCGGCTGATTTTGATGTCTTAAAAGTACTGATGTAAATTTTTTTTTAGTATATCCAAATAATTAGATATTTTTTGGCGCAACCCATCCAATTATTTGTGCTTGTGTGGTACCCCATCAATATTTTGCGCAAACTTCATTTTGTTTTTTTACCGTGGGATAGAAAATATCAACATGGCGCCATCTTAAGTGGAGAAAAAAATTTCCTCTTGAGCTGAAAGATGTATATCGGAGTTTACCCGCGGTTTGGAAAGTTAAAAGCAACGATTGTTCTGATAGAAATTTTAAAAAATGATGCATATGCTTTAAAAAATTCTAAAATCATTCGGCTCAGTACTTCGCAACTCTTGTAATAATTGACGATGTCCAAATTTTTCACGCTGCAGAAACAACTTTTTGCTTCACTTATAGTTTCTTTTTCGTTTGTTTTTTTTCGCCTGAGGACTAAAGCAAGAGCCAACGCTGTTGGTGCGTCCATGGCGAGGTCTAGGCACAAACTAATCATAGCGCAATATATATTGAGTGTGCAGGGAGAACGTCAAACTGTCAATACTTTTGACGTAGAAAAGTTTGACCAAAAGTTTGCGTGTGTACGGGCTACTTTAGTGTTTGAGCGCGTGCAATCCGCACCGTGTACTGATCTCGGGACGCCGAAAATGTTTCTGAATGTTCTTGGGTCTTTTTTTCCGTAAGAGTTTTATAACGGTACTTACAACACAATAGGGTCATAGAAGTGCCGAAGATTAGAGGTACTACAAGAGAGTAACAAACACAATAAAGAAGTAAGAAAGATAAGGACGATAGATGTTTGATGGGAAAGAAGGAGCAGACCACACCAGAGCACCCGCCAACGACCCACCTTCTTGGGTCTGAAGGGGTAATAATACATGCAGTTGGGAACAATCTTGTAAACATTTTTTGCCTAAAATAGAGACCCTATACTACAGCACAATAATTCGACTCTCCTTTTTGACCTGGATGTCTGCACTGTCTTTCAAAACTAAGCTACGTCTGCTTACAGACCAATTCAATCAAAAACTTAAAACTATGCTTAAAAATACGTTTACGATCTCACTGAAGGTGGGCTCGTGGTCTAAAGGAATGGTGTTCGCCTCTCATCCAATAGGTCCTGGGTTCGGAACTTGACAGCGACAGAACATTTTCCCCTTTCTCCTCCTTTCCTGCTCTCTAATCATGTTCTGTCATCTGCTTTTATTTCCGCTTTCTTTTCCCCCTTCTCTGGGCTCCCGACTCTTTTAACTTCTACTCTTGGCGCCATCTTACTGATGTCATTCAGCCAGACCCTTGATCTTAGGGTGGGTATGATAAAAAAAAACCTTGCCTTCTCGGATAAGGGCGAAAAATTATCGGAGGTCCCGTGTGCAAGAATAGCACGTTAAAGATCTCTTGCTTGTCCTAAAATCGATAAGAGTAGGCTTCCCCTGTCACACGAGCAAAATTCAAAATAAATTCCTACCAAACAGAAAAATAAAGACAGACATATCGATGGCTAAGCGCAAGGAGTGACTATATCCACTTTTGGTCGAAATGGAGTAATTTGATCTGTGTAGTGAGATCTAACCCGTAGCTTGATTCGGTATCGAGATACTGAAATTTCTTCTTTTTTTGTTTTGTTTACTATGTGACAGAGATTTCAATCGTTAAATTTTCAAACTCGTCTTTCTCGAAACCGAGAAAAGTGGATATAGTCACTTCTCGCGCTCAGCCGTCGATATACAGACTGTTTGTTTGTTCAGTAAGGTTTTACGGTGCTCACGACTGCATAAGGTCATATGAGCGCCAAGGGGTGGATGTCAATAGAGAAGTCCAAATGGGGATATACAGACTACAGACCGACAAACAGACAAACAACGCAATCAGAAAACCCCACAGATAAAAGGCAGAATAACCCACCTCATGGTCCTGTAGCTTCCTGCCGACCACCCTGAAAGTGTTGTTGCTGGTGTGCTGGTAGATCTGCACCTTGGAGAGGCCCTGCGTGGAGCCGCTGGGCACCCATTTCTTGTTGGCGTCATCGTAGATCATCACCGACGCCCGCGCCGAGATGATGGGCACCTCACTGGAGAGATAAATAGAAAACACAACATATAACTATACAAATTTATACAGGTATAAATGTTATTTTATGATAGAATGACAGAAAGTAAGAAAGAAGTACAAAAGTAGATAAAAATACCTTTCTAAAGAAAGAAAAATATTTTTGGAAAAGCAAACAAAACAAACAAAAGAAGGAAGATAGAAAGAAAGCGAGTAAAAAAAGCAACAACAAAAAGCCAAATATAAATACAATAATGTATCACATTTACTCATCAATGTGACGAAATTTGAGTAACGACGCACCATGCAATGTACCACCACTACAGACAAGTTTACAACACGCCATTTCTGGATACCTCAGATAAGTGCTTTCTTTCTTAGCTAAGGTCTTCGTGTCCTTCTAAGGGAAATATCACCAAAGTGGCCACCCATCTCAACGCCCGCATAACCAACATTGCTCGACATCATTTTGTGCACGTCTGGTTGAGAGAGAACGAGAGAGAGAGAGAGAGAGAGAGGGAGAGAGAGAGAAAGAGAGAGAAAGAGAGAGAAAGAGAGAGAGAGCGAGAGA